TGTTTTAATGTTAAATGATGTCGTGTTTTATGATTTAATTGATAATTCTATGTTATTATCGTTAAGTTAGGTTTCTGTATTTGAGGCATTAAATTTTGTCATAATTATGTTTGAAACAGCTTTGAGTCCCCTGCTGGAGGAAGAAAAGAGGTATATAAGTGAAGTAAATAAATAAATAGGGAAGAATTAACACCCTGTGGGGTTTGTTTTGCTGTCTGTGCCCCTGATCAGAAGAGTTCACCTCTCTTTCTGTCCCTGTGATCATTAGATATTGAAAAAACGGCTTGTAGTAGAAACAAGGATTGGTGAGAAAGCTTCAGCGGAAACCCCTTTCTCCCATTATAACTCAGGAGTAAATTTCCCTTCCAAGGGGTAGATTTGTCTCACTTCTTAACTATGAGTCATTTGTAAGTCAGATGTTTGTAACTCGGGGACTGCCTGTATATTTATGAAGGATGCAAAATGAGGACATCGCCTCCAATTATTAATTCTGCTCCCCAGATCACATTATCCACCAGATTATCTCCATCCCCTACTTCGAAGATGTCTTTGACTTTATAACACCAACCTGCTATTTCACTACAGTTTTTAGTGTAGATAACTGATATATAAGGGGTTAAGTTATTTCAAAATTGCAACTCTCTTCAGTAGCACAATTGTGTCAATTCGCTATTTTGTGATCCTGTGATCATATTTCAGCACACTCTCATAATCCTGCTTTTCTGCACTATTGCAGTTATATTATGTTTACATGTACATAACAACATAGCATACATGAACATTATGTCCAAGTGTCTGAGATTTGTCTCTTGATATCGGGCTCTATATTGTTGTTGTTGTTGCTGTTATTTGAAAACTAAAAAGGCAAGGACATCTATATCTATATCTATATCTCTATCTATCTATCTATCTATCTATCTATATATCTATCTATCTATCTATCTATCTATACATATAATAAAAGTCAAAGTTTGTATGTGGCGGTGCGACCGGGTATGTGCCAGCTTTCTGATAGGCTGCCACTGTGGTGCTATTTGCATATGGTCTCTGATTGGCCAGCTGCAACAGGAGCCCCTGGTGGAGAAAAGGGTTCATGACAGAAACGGAGACATGAGAGAAGGAAATTTGCATATGGTCTCTGATTGGCCAGCCACAATTCCAAGATTCCGAGATGACAAAGAGAGGAAAGGAAAAGGCCAGAGGGGGCTGAGTCAGAAAATTACCAATACAGACCAAACTTGGCACACAGAGCCCCCATGACCCACTCTCCATCCTGGAGCAGTTTGGAGGGGGATGGACCATGGATGATGGGACTTGCAGTACCATCACTCACTTTCTGAGACCGCTGTTAACCTCATCCAATGACTGATCAGGACCAAACTTGGCACATAGACCTCTCATGACCCACTTTACGTCCTGGTGTGGTTTGGCCGGGGATGGACCATGGATTATGGGACTTGCAGTACCTTTGCTCAATTCTTGAGACCACTGCAACCCTCATCCAATTACCGATAAAGACCAAACTTGGCACACTGAGTCTCCATGATGCACTCTACATCCTGGTGCGGTTTGGGGGAGGATGCACCATGGACGATGGGACTTGCAATACCTGCACTCCCTTCCTAAGACCATTACAACTGCCAACAATGATGGATCAGGACCACAACCTCGCACAGAGAGCCTGCATGACCCACTCTACATCCTGGTGCGGTTTGGAAGAATTTGACAATGGATGATGGGACTTGCAGTCACTTCACTCACTTCCTGAGACCACTGAGACCCTCGCCAATGACTCATCAAGACTAAACTTGGCACATGGAGCTTCAATGACCCACTCTACATCCTGGTGCAGTTTGGAGGAGGACAGACCATGGATGATGGGACTTCAAGTACCTCCACTCCCTTCCCAAGATTGCTGCAACCCTCATCTAATGACCAATCAAGACCAAACTTGGCACACAGAGCCCCCATGACCCAACCTACATCCCAGTGCTATTTGAAGGAGGACGGACAATGGATGATGGGACTTGCAGTACCTTCACTCACTTACTGAAACCACAGTGACACTCATCCAAATACCAAGAAAGACCAAACTTGGCACGGAGAGCCCCCATGGCCAACTCAATATTCTGGTGAGGTTTGGGGGAGAACAGAGTATGGATGATGGGACTTCAAGTACCTCCACTCACTTCCCAAGACTTCTGCAACACTCATCTAATGACCAATCAAGACCAAACTTGGCAAACAGAGCCCCCATGACCCACTCTCCATCCTGGAGCAGTTTGGAGGAGGATGGACCACAGATGATGGGACTCACAGTACCTTCGCTAACTTCCTGAGACTACTGCGAGCCATATAAATAACTGATAAAGACCAACCTTGATACACAATTCCTTTCTCAAATAACCCGGGCAGCGCCGGGTCCCCAAGCTAGTATATAATAAAAGTGAATGTTTGTATGTATGTATGTATGTATGTATGTATGTATGTGGAGGGTGGACATAGGGAGGTGTATGTGGCAGCTTTCTGATTGGCTGCCACTTTCACAGACCACTGCGACCAGCCCGGGTGGCAGACCTGGACCAAACTTGGCACACATAACCCCCATGACCCCCTTTATGTCCTGGTGAGGTTTGGGGGATGACAGACAATGGATGATGGGATTTGTAGTACTTTCAAAACCTTCGGTTCCCACAGACTACTACAACCCCCAACAAAGACTGATAAAGACCAAACTTGGCACACAGAACCCCCATGATCCTCTCTACAGGAACAGGAAATGGAGTTATCATCTTTCTGACTATGTGAGCCAAGAGCATCCAACATAGCCAGAGATTTTAAGTTACTTCATGGGTTTATTGACAGCCAGTGTGATATAGTGGTTTGAACATTGGATTATTACTCTGGAGAGTTTAAATTCCTGTTAAGCTGTGGAAACCCACTGGGTGACCCTGAGCAAGTCATTCCCTCTTTGCCTTAGAGGGAGACAAAGGCCCAAACTCCCTTTTAACAAATTTTGTCAAGACTATTCTGATTAGTGACTGAGAGAAGTATGAAAAATCTTTGGGCTGAGCATGATGCATTTAACATAGTGCATAGTTGTTGTTGATGGGTACCTTCAAATGGTTTCCAATTTATGTCAATACTAAGGCAAAGCTGCCAGAGATTTGTCCAAAGCAGGGTTTGTCATGACTCTCCTCTGACTTGCCCAAGGTGTTGGAGTATATTTCCATAAGTGAACAAGGATTTGAATAGAGCATAGACAGGATAACTGTTGCATTCTCTGTTGATTGTCATAACTGAGTTTCCTTTAGCATCATAGATCACAAGTTAGGCAGGCCTTGGAAGTACAGGCAGTTCCCAAGTTATGAAGTTATGTAGCTTTGTTCTTAAGCTGAATTCGTATGTAAGTTAGAACAGGCACATTTTAAAGTGTAATTCCAGCCAAAATATATATTATTTAGCTTTGGATAGCATAGGGAAGGGTTAAGACCCCTATGGTGTTTGTTTTGCTGTTTATGCCCCTGTTTGAAAGATTTCACCCCACTTGCTGTCCCTGAGAAAATTAGATTTTGAAAAAATTGGCTTGTTGTGGAAACAAGGATAAATAAGTTAAATACATTAAAAACATAACATAAAAATAAATATATAATTTCATTGAAACATGAAGATAAAGAAATTAAAGAAGAACAAAAGATAAAATAACATCAAAAAGATTTTTATGAGGATCTATACAAAAATGAAGAAGGCTCAACAGAAGCAGTAGTGCTAAAATTTTCTGTATGTTTAATTTTGATGATTTCTTCTGCACTTAAAATTGGGAAAAAACTGTATGAACTGTTTGTAAGTTAGATGTTTGTAACTCGGGAACTGTTGCTATACAAAATTACAGCAGTTCTGGCAGACTTTTCTTAATACATGCTGAATATCCCATATCCAAAATACTTGGAACCAAAAGGATTTGGCATTTTCGGGTTTTTTTTCCCCAGATTTTGCCTTTATTTGCATTGTTGTTTATTTGTTCAGTCGCTTCCGACTCTTTGCGACCTTGTGGACCAGAAATCTCAGAGAATTTCAATTTTGAATTCCAGATAAGTGATGCTCAACCTGTCTAATAATAATAATAATAATAATAATAATCTTTATTTATATCTGCCACCATCTCCCCCAACGGGGACTTGGAGCGGCTTACATGGGGCCAAGCCTGAACAACAAATTACAGTACAAAAATGCAAATTGCAGTAAAATAAAAAACATAACAATAAAGTATAAAACATCAAAGCATATAAACAAGACATAGAAACCAAACATAATGACAGAGAGCGGGCCGCATGTACATAAAATGATTTAAAAACTCAAGGTGAGATAAAGGGGCAGAACTGTTTGTAGGGGAGAACTCATACAGAAACAGAGAAATAAACAAACCTTTGTACAAGGGGCGGGGGGAGAAATCCTGGGACAAGAACGTTGAGGGAGCAATAACATAAAATGATGTGACTACTCTCCGAAAGCGCAACGGCAGAGCCAGGTCTTGAGACTCTTTTTAAAGGTTTCTAAAGTAGAGGCTTTCCTAATCTCTCTGGGCAATGAGTTCCAGAGTCGAGGGACCACAAAGGAAAAGGCTCTCTCCCTTGTACTCACAAGGCAAGCCTGAGAAACTGGTAAGGGTGAAAGGAGGGCCTCCCCCTGGGGATCGAAGAGTTCAGGCTGGTTCATGGAGAGAGATACGGTCACAAAGGTAGGCGGGTCCCAAACTGTTATTGATCACAATTGTTCTAAACATCGGGGGGGGGGGGGGGCATCATGCATCTTTAAATCTTCCTGTCTCTTCCCTTCAACACACTTAGTTGAAAAAGACTGTTGTTCTGCTAAAGCATTACCGCTGACACAATTTGGCAGCACTCTAGAAATGAAAGCACTTAGCAATATTTTTCCATCTTCTCTTTGTTGGGACAACTTTTTCTTCACCCTGACAAAGAATCATCTTTTACCTCCAACAGCTCATCTCCAAAGAGGCTAACAGCAGTGGAGCTATTGAAAAGCTGCAGTCGGAGCATGTGAACAGTCAACAGCATATCAAAGACCTGGAGGCAAAGCTAGAGGTCAGTGCCTGTCAGTTTGCTGGTAATTCCACGTCTGAGCAACAATGCAAAATCTGAAGACGCAGATGGACATTTCCATTTAATTTCCCTCTGTGTCCCCCTTCCTAATGTTAAATTGTCCATTCCATAAAGAAAGTCATGTTTGCCATTAACGATGCCTGAATTCAGACCCTTGAGAGAAATACTCCCTTTCTCCTTGAATCTTTTTTTTTCATACAGAATACTCTTTGTACAAGCAAGAATGGGACCTGTTTTGTGCTAATTTGTTTGCAGTGATAAATGTTGGCGTACTCGGTGCGGGGGGAGGGGGAGGGAAATATGAAACAAATGTGCAGATCAGATTAGAAAATCTTGGATTATTACAAGAACAAAAATTTTGAATCGAAAATAATTGTTTTCCTAAAGTGAGGCTGCTGGTGCTTTTACATTATTGACATTATTTTGAATGCCATTTAAAAAAAATAATACAATTTATTTGTGTTTTAGTATTAATTCTATTGTGAGCTGCCATGGAATCATAGAGTCATAGTATCATAGAGACCTCATGGGCCATCCAGTCCACCCCCCTGACAAAAAACAGGAAAATTGCATTCAAAGCACCCCCGACAGATGGCCATCCAGTCTCTGCTCAAAAGCCTCCATAGAAGGAGCCTCCACCACAGAGAGTTCCACTGGTGAACAGCTCTCACAGTTCTTCCTAATGTTAAGGAGAAGTCTTCTTTCCTGTAGTTTGAAGCCATTGTTCCATGTCCTAGTCTCCAGGGCAGCAGAAAACAAGCTTGTTCTCTCCTCCCTATGACTTCCCCTCACATGTTTATACGTGGCCATCATGTCACTTCTCAGCCTAATTGTCTGCAGGCTAAACTTGCCCATCTCTTTAAGCTGCTCCTCATAGGGCTTGTTCTCCAGACCCTTGATCATTTTAGCTGCCCTCCTCTGGACGCATTCCAGCTTGCCAACATTTCCCGTCAATCGCAGTACCCAGAACTGGACACAGTACTCCAGGTGTGGTCTGACCAAGGCTGACTAGAGGGGTACTATGACTTCCCTGGATCTAGACACTATACTCCTTTTTATACAGGCCAAAATCCCATTGGCTTTTTTTTTTTTGCTGCCGCATGACATTGTTGGCTCATGTTCAACTTGTTGTCCACAAGGACTCCAAGATCTTTTTCACATGTACTGCTCTCGATGATTGTATCTTTGCAATAAATCATCGGCAAACAAATTTACTTTTACTACCTCATTTCCTATTCTGTATCCCATTATTCTACCATTATTTCTTATTCTGTCCACTAAATACTCTATAGCCAATATAAATAGTATTGGGGATAGTGGGCATCCCTGCTTGACCCCTCTTTCTATAACTATTTCTCAAGTATATCCCCCATTTACTTTCACTTTTGCCTTCCCCTTTTTATATATTTCTTTTATGACTTCAATAAATTCCTTGCCTATTCCAAAATTTTCCATTATTTTAAATAAGAAATTGTGGTTAACTGTATCAAATGCTTTATATACATCTAATTTGATAAATGCATAACTTTTTTTTACTTTTCTGGGCAATAATGTTGATCAAATTCCTCAGTGGGTGGCTTATATTTCTTCCCTTAATAAAACCATATTGATCATCCCCTATCACTTTTGGTAATATATCCCTTAATCTATTTGCTAAAATTTTCGCAAATATTTTGTAATCTTGATTCAATAAGCTAATTCGTCTATATGAATTTACTTCTCTTGGATTCTTCCCTGGTTTGAGTATTGTTATTATTTCTGCTTCTCTCCAGGACTTCTCCCTCTTTTATTATATTATTAAAAATTATTGCTAATTCTGGAATCAGAACCTCTTTCATTTGTTTATAAAATTCTGCAGTAAATTCATTGTTTCCTGGTGATTTTCCTTTTTTAAGATTGTCTATTACTTTCTCAATCTCTTGATACGATATTTCGCTCTGTATTTGTTTTTTTCCTCCTCTCCTATTTTTCTCCTCCCCCAATCTTCACATGGTATATTTTTTTCTCCTTTATATAATTTCTCATAGAAATCTGCAAATATCTCCCTTATGCTTTTATTATCCTTTATCAATTTATTATTTTTATCATATATTTCTTTCACTCTTTGTTTTTCCTTCCTTTTTTTAGATAATTTGCTAGTCGTTTCACTGAATTGATATTTGTCCTTTGAAAATCATTTTTAACCATTAATTCTTTTTTCCATATATCAAACTTATCAATTTCCTCCAGCTCTTCTTTCAACTTATCTATTTCTTTTTTAGTTTTTTTATCATATCTATTCTGTAACTCCTTATATTTCTCTTCCAATTGCTTATATATTGCATTCCGTTCTAAATTTCTTATTTTCTTTTTGAATACTTCTTTTTTTATTAATAAACCTCTTACGAATGCTTTCATCGTATCCCATATAATTCCTTCTTTTGCCGACTTTCGGTTCACTTGAAAGTAATATTTAATTTCCTTTGCTATCTCTTCCCTATCTTTTTCTTGTTTCAGTATTGAGTCGCTGTATCTCCATTTATATTGATATTTTTCCTCTATTAATTGTATTGTTATTTGTACTGGTGCATGATCTGATATTTCTATCTGTCCGGTGTCAACTTTTAATATCTTGGATTGATTTGAGTCTTTGATTAATATATAGTCTATATGAGTAAACTTTTTATGTCTTCCTGAAAAATATGTTGGTTTTGGTTGTATGTTTACTTCTTTGAAACAGTCCTTCAATATCCATTTATTTAAAATACTACTCTTATTCTGTATCAAGTCCATATTGAAATCACCTGCAACAATTACTTATCCTTCATATATTCCCTCCAGCTTTCTAAGTATCTTTTCTATATATCTTTTTTGACCTTTATTAGGCATATATATATATATATATATATATTCAGAATTGTAATTTTTATTCCATAAATTTCTGCTTTAAAAATTACCTATCTACCTTTAGTATCCACCACCAAATCACCACCAAAACCTCTAAATTATTTTTCATCCAGATGGCAACTCCCTTTGTTTTATTATTTGCTCTAGCCTCTGCCACTATACTCCATCCTGGCAAATTTAGTAATTTTTCTGGGTCTTTCCTTGATCTGTGTGTTTCCTGTAACATTATACAGCCAAAATTATTTCTTTCAATATATCTTCTTAACCGTGCCCTTTTATTATTTGAAGCTAAACCGTTAATGTTCAAGCTGACGCACATCAGAAATGATCCCATTTTAATGCGGTGTGTTTTTTTGGCTCATTTTCCTCATTCCTTTTTCCCTTAGTTCTTGTCAACTCCCTATATGCCCAATGTGGTTTTAATAAGAGACTAACCTCCCTCCCCTCCATTGAGTTTCCTTGACCTCTGCATTTCCTTCTACCCCTCTCCCCATTTCATTTAATATAATATAATACCTCCATCAATGCCTTTTACCTTTTTCCCTTCATCTTATTTCCAAATGAAAGTTTCTTATATGTAATTTTTATTTGTTATTATTTCAATTCGGCCATCCTAATAAGGGTATACCTTCTCAGCCATACTGCTAAATTCCATCCCATCTCATAGTGCTATTCCCACTTATTCTAACTTGTCTCTTATATTAACATTAATACTGAATAATCATAATACATAATAGTATTTTTTCATTTCATTTTCTATCACATGAGATTAGACTAACTTTCCTTTAAAGAGATGTTACTACAGTTCTCTCTTTTCTTTTCCCTCTCCATAGTTCTAGGCCCTTGGTCAACCCTTTCAGCTGTGCTGACAATAGCAGCTGTGCTGATATGGTGTTTCCTCCCTACTCCAAAATCCTAATACAACCCTCTTTAGCCTTTAATATTATGGTTTTGGTTTTACTTATAACATATATCATTATATACTCTCATTTTATATTTTCATTTATCCATTTATCCTTAGGAACTTAGTTTAAACTTATACAGAAAAATACAAAAAAGAAAAAGAAAAAAGGAACATACCCCCATTTCTAAATTAAATCTTAATTCAACCGTTAATCCATTCTTCCATGGTATCATTGCAACTCTAAGGCAGGAAAGAAATATAGTTAAATAAAGTCTAAATTATATATTTCTGTTTACTCATCATCTTCTCCTTCCTCTTCTTCCTCCTCTTCCTCTCCTTCCACGATTTCTTCTTCCTGGGAGGTTGCTGCATGTCATCTGTGTCTTTCTTCTTTTTACCTTTATCCCTTTTTTTCCTGATACCAAGAGATTTCAGCATTTCCTCGGCTTGCTGTGGTGTTTTGGCCATATACCTTTTCCTTTGACGAAAATGGATAATTGCCATCGGGTAACCCCAGATAAATTGAATTCCTTCTTTATATAAAGTTTCAGCATATGATTGTAATTGTTGTTTGATTTTCAGTGTTTCAATAGACAGATCTTGTTTCACTATAATTTGCTTGTTTTTGTAAAGGGGTTTTTTCCCCTTTAATTGTTTAAATACCTCCTGTTTTTTACTCTCTGTAGTAAACTTTATGATAACCTGTCTGGGTCTTGCCCCTACTCTTCTCATGCTCCGATGTAACCTGTCAATGTCCATTATTGACAACTCAATTTGGTTTTTTTGTAGCCATTTCACTATTTCTTCTTTCAAGTTTTTTTCGTTATCCTTATCCTTTACTGGCCAATTTCCCAGCCTTAAGTTTGCGCGTCTGCTTCTATCAGACAGCTCTGCTAATTGGCCTTTCAGTTTTTCAATCTCTTTCGTGTTATCCTCTGTTTGTTTTTCCATAGCTTGTATTTTGTTTTCTAGTACACCCAGCCTCTCTCCCATTTTTTTCATAGTCTCATTTATTGTTTTGAGGTTGTCTTGCAAAATCTTTCCCATATCTTCAATTGCTTTCTTGTTACCCTCCAAATCGTTTGAATTCTTCTTTGGTGATTTCTCCCCTTTGTCACTTTTTGTGCATGTCTTTTTTGAGTCTTAGTCCAGTTAGAAGTTCTTTGGATATCCATTTTGGCTTCTTTGTACT